CGATAAAAACAGCCAACCCTCATTCCGTCCCTCGCAGGTGGGATAGTCGGAATTATCGGGCTAAAATCCGATGGGTGCCGGGTTATACGGTTTTGTTTCTAATGTTTTAAAGACATTTCTAGACAAAATTCAGATCTGTCTTTGAGTGAGCATATGAAATGGACAATTTACTATCGATAGGGCCAATAAAAAGTTTTTTGATATTTTGTGGGTTAGACGGTTTTATCACCAGGCCGACGATATATATATATATAAATATATATATTATATATATTATAATGCTCAGTGTTAGCTCAGGTGCTTTACCATTAGCATGGAACACACAAGAGAAAGACACTTTGCATTTGTTCATGAATTAGAGAAAAGGCAAAGGCGCTATTTGCTGCCGGCCCAACGATGCAGCCACTTTCCTTTCAAAATAAATCGATCAGCTCTTGTTTCGTTTCCACTGGCACGAACCACATGACCTCAACTTCCAACATTGCAGGCATTATAAACTAAATGAGGCGTAACAAAAGTCACTTAAGAATGTTACAATACAACTGTTTTGGAATGTTAAAATTAGATTTCAAGCACTTTTACATAAAGATTGATTAATTTTAAGTAAGACCTATTTCCAAATACAATCCATCAAAAAAAAAGTTATAATGACTTTGTATACAGTGAGCCTGTTAACTGTTGTAGTACCATGCCAATGGGCTCGTTGAATAAATTGTAAAGATAATATTACAATCCATGACACCCTAACCACAATCCATGAAGTATAAAGTCAAGTTCATATATAGCATGGCATACATTTCAACCCAGTCACATGTTTATATATATATATATGCAAATTTTGAAATTGTAGGTTTTATTTTCATGAGTAAAGTTTTAAGAAAATTCATGATGCTGAAAAATTGGACGCCAAAATTGGCTGCTGATAAATTGACCAGCATTCCGTATACATACAAAGACAAAGAGTACACATCAAGATGAGTCAAAATGAGATGATACTGGATAGACTTAACTTATAATGAATAATGAGACCAAACATATATAACGTCAAAACTTCATTCGGTAAATTTTTACTTTTAGATCCGCACACAGATGCACTGTTTTGAGGGCTAAACACTCATAATTTTTGCTTCAAAAGACGACATGATGTGGCCACTGAAATCCTTCCAAATCAACTGTTTTCAGATAAATATCAATTTTTTCTTAATTGCCAAAACATCAAATCATGGTGAAATGCAAGGGGGCATGCCCCCTGAAACCCCCCTGATTCTACTTGGGTCAGGGGGGTGTATGCTGTTAAAAACAAGTCAAATCTTACTACACCATTGGTCCTATGGTAATATTACTAATATAGTTCGTAAAAAATATTATAATTTCAAAAACTAGATCTAGATCTAGATCTAATAATAATAATTTAGATTCTAGATCTACATTGGATATTTTAAGTCAACACTTACTTGTGCAAAGTGTAAAGCAGATAAAAATGAACAAGAAAAGTGCTTTAGAACATGGAGGCCAAAAGAAAAAAAAAAGCAAAGGATCTTACAATTTGCAAAAGCTCAAGAGTTGACTCTCGTCCAGAATTTGAACTACATGTATCAAGCAAAGGTTTAATTGTAGATGTTGGCGCTGGCGATGTTGCTGGTAGGCCTACTCTGTCTCTGTTAGCATCCTTCAGCTTCAAGTCCGTGGTCTTTTCTCCATGAACCAACATCCCATGGCCAAGAACAAACATTGAAACAAAAATGTACACGACTTGCAGACAAATGAGAAGTGAGCACAGGCCTTCATTAGCGTTGCAGATTGTCAGCCTCATTTTCTCTCTGACAAGGAAAATCTAAATCTTAGAGTACGGCACTGAGTTGGACTTGAATAAGACCTGAGACTTGGTGAGAAAAAATAAGTTTCAAAAGTATATATAACTATCACTAGCATAACACGAATTTGTCAAATTAGGCTGTCGCAAATCAATTTTATTGCACTGGACTTCCTGGACTTAGACCAGCGGCTTGATTGTTGAGGAGTGATGACACCGACACTGACACCTCCCGCTAGATTCTAATTGATGCATTCACCGTTCAGAACTTGTTTCGTCATTCGTGAGAATCACTGTTTCAAGCTAAACCCTGTAAGAATACAAGAGTACCATCATATAAAAAACCGGCACCATAGCCTACAGTGAGTGCACAGTGCACGGAGAAAAACACAAACAGCACTGTCCAACGCCCTCCCAGTTCCCAGCCCAAGAAGTCAAGGAGTGAAAATTTATAAACATAGGCTAGCCTGGATAGATCAAGTGAATGATAGAAGTGCAGAGTAACTACCCTTTGGGAAATAACGGTGTAAATGTAAGATTTTCTCCTCTTAAAAAGAACGCAGTGGCTATTTTTACGGCGAGCCGTAAAGATAGCCTCCCAGGCTATTTTTACGGCGTGCCGTAAAGATAGCCTCCCAGTGAGTCCCAGGCTATTTTTACGGCGATCCTCGAAAAGCGACCCTACTCCGCCTCTCATGTACGCGACATGCCTCAATGTATTAGATCTAGGCCTATAGTAGGGACCGTTCAAAATATAAACTTACACCTCAGAGGGGAAAGGGTGTCTTTGGCTTCATAATTATAGTCTTTATTCTGGACTTTTAAACAATTCAATGTTTTTATGTTCTTTACTAGGACCTTGTTGTTGTGGGATTCTTTCAAATAATAAAATAGATCGCATTTTTTAAGTTTTTGTTTTTTTGTTTTCTGATGTGCTCATATTATTACTGTCCATTTTTACGAGGAACAGCTCACCCCAAGGGTGATTCTTTTTCCGATTCATATTTAGGGAAAAAAATTATACGGGCATAAAAAATAATGAAGAAAGTAAATTTTAATAAGTCCGAAAATATGAAAGTTGCCATGGAATGGAAACAGAACCAACATGCAAAACAAACAATTATTTTTAAAAACCGAAGGCTTCTACCATCTAACAAAATTGCATGAAAATTCATGGAATGGTAGATACAGATACTATGGTCAATCGTACTGAGCAAAATTTTGATATTTAAATGAAAATATATATATATATGTGTTCCTGTACCCTGAAATTGCATCACAATAATTAATAAATTAATCACTGTGAACAACAAAAAAATATTTTACACCTCTATCAAAAATCTGCTCAGTGCAAAGGAAGGAGGAACATTTTATATAGGCATTCCCAAGGCGAAAAGTGTTAACTCCAAAATGGCTGCTCTTCTTGTGGGTGTGGTACATAATGTAGTGGTGTCTGTGAATGAGATGATAATGCTGGCAGTGGCAGTGGTGATGGTAATGATAATGACGAGGAGGTGATGGTGGTGGTGATGATAAATAGAGGGTGAATGATGATGGTGGGGAGAAGAAGGAAAAGGTGGTGGTGGAGGAAGGGAGAAGGAAGATGAAGAAGAGAATAGAATGATGATGGTGAAGAGGAGGAAATGGAAAACCTATGAGGCTGTTCAAATATAATCTTACACTTTTGGGGACGTTTTTAAAACACAAAACCCAAATACCACTTTTCTCATATTTGCCTCCAACCCTCATCCACACCAATTTAATTAGTACTTTTTCCGATCTTCAACTTCCATTATTATTTTAAACATACCTGTAGGCCTACTATACGTGGCGTTTTTTTAACCAGCTTGTAAAAAAAAATACCATTTCAGTTAATACAATTTAATCAAACCATATGAACTAGAAAGAACGCATAAATATGGAAGACATTGAGACTCTTGTCAATGCAATAGGTACATGCCTTACAAATAAATGACATCAAGACATTAAAAGATCAACAAAACAGTTGCAAAGCTACAAAGAAACATTAAGAAATTAGATATCCACCGACAGCATTTTCATCATAATTTCAAAATTATTTGCAACCACCCCCCCCCCCCTTTCCTCTAAAAAACAAAACAAAAACAACAACAACGGGGATCTGCAGTCATCATGCAGATCTCGGTCTGGTCACTGGCATTTATCAACTTTTTCTTTTACCTTTTCTTCCCAGTCATGAGCAAAACGTTCATCTCACAGAAGTGTCATATTTGGTTAACACCCCCACCCAAGGGCCAATCTTACACTTTTCTTACAGGCCAAAGACACCCTTTCCCCTCTGAGGTGTAAGTTTATATTTTGAACGGCTCCTACTATAGGCCTAGATCTAATACATTGAGGCATGTCGCGTACATGAGAGGCGGAGTAGGGTCGCTTTTCGAGGATCGCCGTAAAAATAGCCTGGGACTCACTGGGAGGCTATCTTTACGGCACGCCGTAAAAATAGCCTGGGAGGCTATCTTTACGGCTCGCCGTAAAAATAGCCACTGCGTAAAACGAACGCGATAATTAAATTATATTATTGGGCAATACAACAAGGGAAGAAAAGCGGTAAATCATCCCCTGTTGTATGGCAAGGCAACCAGAAAGGAATTTCAAAGAGTAACAAATTTGAAAGCAGAAAAATATAATATCTGTGATTTGTGAAATCCATCACTTATTTTAAAGTGATTGATAGATTCTGATACTATGACCAGAGACAGTACGTACATTGTCTCTGCTATGACTAAACTTCGCTCATCTCCATCTCGGTACTCGGTATTTGTCTTGAAATTCTCAATTGAAAATAGTGCTGTTTCCTTCAAATGGATATTATTATAATATAATAAGCATTTTCAGAAAGTACATGCTTTTCATAAAGTACTCGCAACTGCAAACTATGTGCATGCAAGTTTCAAATTCAAAGGGATTGGAACGCAACAGTAACTGTCATTGTTCAGCATGGGATGGGGTCATTTCAAAGAACGAACAAAATGAGCTAATCTCTTTGATGTTTAATCAAGAAGAAGAATATATTGAGTTGTATTTTTGCAGTGTGACATGTTAAACTCGGAAACCACCATCAAACAAATTGTTCATGACTTCTGGAAAATAATGTGGCTTATGTAATTACTATGAACACCGTAATTTTACCCATAAACCCCCCAGTAGTCACGTGACCTCCGTCGCTTCGTCCTTCGCCGGGTCGCCATCATGCAAGCACTGAAGCAGGCATGTACTGGGTTTGCTAGGGCAACAAAAGTTGCCTTTGCATCCCCAATTTCTCAACAAAATGCTACAAACTTTTTGCCCGCTGTGTACACCACCCGTAAGTATTCACTTTTTTGTTTAATATGCCTTGGATGTTACGTTTTCTTCCTGTGTAGCAGACTGCTTTTCAGTTAGAGATCTGCAGTACAGCCAGTCGATTTTTCTCTCTTTGGATATTATGTCAAGGAAAGCCTGCATCATGGGCTAAGTTCTGACACCAGCAGTTGAAAAATGAATTTTCATTACCTTTGATTACTGAGTGCGACTGCTTTTGAAGACCACTGCTGCGTTCTGGACGCTTTACATTTTAAACTACCAAAATGAGTTTCAACTGAATTCTGTCCAGTAGTGTGCTCTCTAACTTTCAGCACACAGGACAGTTGGAGGTCAAACGTCTGATTTTCATTCTGCTGGGTATTTTGAGGAGTTGGTTGATAGCCATGATTCGTTAATAAACTCTAGATCTAGAATCTAGATCTAATGTTGAGAATACTGCTTTACACCCCTGCATGCTGCAGTTGAACAAGTGAACAAAAAATTGACCACATACCAACACAGCCAAGAGTTTGCAACTGTACTGTGTAGACTTCAGATCTATTGGCATTGGAATTCTTAGACTCTTTTTGTCTTAGAGTAGATATCTAGGCTATCATGCACCTTCCTCCTGGTTACTTACCTAGGCCTACTTACTAGATCTAGATCTAGATTAGAATCAAATGAAGTTAATATCTTTCAGTATGCGTTTAGTTAATTTTAATGGTTTAACTCATTTTAGTTTTGAAATGATGTCTTTTGTTTTGTTTTTTAATTGACAATGAGGACTTTTGTAACGAGCGACCACTATGAGACAGAGCAGAATTGAGGGTTTAGGTTAGGGTTAGACGTCTTCTTTATTGTGTTTGATGGGGTGGTCGCTCGTTACGAAAGTCCTTCCGATTATTTAAAATTTGAAATTGAAGGAGATGGCTCATACCATACAATAACAAGTAGCAAGTCGCCTCATTCAATTCTTCTGTATCAGTGTCTATCCAGTTTTTGATGTGTAGCTGAACATACAGTTTCCCAATGAAAATGGATCTAGATCTAGATCTAGATCTAGATCTGGATTAATATTAGATTAGATCTAGAATCTAGAAAGATCAAGCAGTCAGTATTAGATCTACTAAGGCAAGGCTGAGACTGCTTTTTGGCTTAATAGTAGGCTACTTCATAGAAGTAGAAGAGTTACTGTTAAGCTTTTAATTGTAGGGCCTGAATCTGTCGACCTTTACTTTGCTGAGATTTTAAATTTAATTTTCTAGCTGCATGGCATCATGATGGTAGCTAGTTAATAAAAGGTGTATTTTAAAGAGTTCTGAGTGTCCTCAGTGAAGGTCACCATCACCATGCTAAGTCAGGCTAAAATGAATAAAAAGGGCCTAGATATTCTAATTCTTGTCATAAATAAGCACATAGTTTGAAGTGTTATTTAAATTTTCTAGATTAATTTTGAAAAGGATCTGTGTTGTTTCAATTTTGTCCTCAACCAAGGTCATCGTACTGTACTTATTTTATTTATATTTGCAAGTGTGTTCTCTTTAAAGGCAAACAAAGGAAACCCCCGAAATCTGGGTTCCCCCACCCCTTTTGTCCTAAGTAACCAATTGAAAATTAGTGAAGTATTTTGTCATGGCGACAAATGGATTATTATTTTGTTTTTGTTTTTACAGACAGGAATTATGCCAAAGAGGCCCCAAAACCTCAAGCTGGGGTAGCAGCAGGAAGGATTGTTGCTGTGATTGGAGCCGTCGTGGATGTGCAGTTTGACGACAAGCTCCCATCCATCCTCAATGCCTTGGAGGTGCAGAACAGGTCACCCAGGCTTATCCTGGAGGTTGCTTCTCATTTGGGTATGTGATTTGTATCTGGCCATTTTGTCAATGTTTTTTTTAAAGTCTGGTTTTAAACATGCAAATATTACTAAAGCCTTATTTGGGATGGGGGTGGGGGTATGTGCTCAACACATATTTTCATTTTGGTTCCTGTTGTTCAATTTTCGAAGTATGATTAACACATACCTTCAGTATTCCAGCTACATCTTGCTCTTTACTCATAAGCCCACATATGCTTGGTTTTCAAATCATGTTGTGAGCCAGATACAAGCTTTACTTTTTTCCATTGTCTCTTTATTACTAGATAGGACATAACATAAGGATATACCTGAGTATTTATATGACTTATAAATCTTCTCATGGATAGCAGAATAGATTTCGTGATATATCTAGATCTAGTTGATCATAATCTGATTCTGGGTGCAAGGTAAAAACTAAAACACAAAATGTAGGTTTGTAGCATCTGTTCCTGTAATTAAGATAGCACTTCTGGTTGTTTAAAAACAATTTCCTTCTAAATCACTCATTCTTTATGCGCACCTGATTCTAAGACACTTGCCCTTGCCGTGTTTTGTTTTCACTATAGACTGCTATTGGAATTTTCCCGTTATGGATTATGAACGAAATATATTCAACTGTCTACATAAATTTTGGATTGTGCTCTTCTCGTCTTCTGTGCTTTTTGCTTCAAGCCGAGATCTTGAATTTAGATCACCCAGAACTATTTCATGGTGGCAATCTGTACAGGTATCAGTGCAACAGAAGAGGGGGTGAAATTAACAAGTAGCCAATGCCTGGCTTGGTCAGAATATTGGCGCGGATTTAAATCTATATGTGCATACTCTTTTAGTCAAAAAATGGAAACTGCTAAGAGTAAATAGTACCTGCCAAGTACTCTGATAAAATCAGGGCCCTCGAGGAATTTTTTAATTTAGATTTGCATAAAATATGAACATCTTATTTTCCTTCTAAGATCCAGCTTTGGTCTGTCGGATGTAGTCTTAAAATGGGGAAATAGACATGTTGATTTGCAATCTTTGCAGCTTATCGTGACGTAAGTGATGTGAATATACACTTGACATTTCAATTTGTGTGTATTTACTATACATTTGTGTGGCTGTCCAGGAAAACCCTTCACATGGGTCACTCTATCACTTTTGAGTTATTTACATATTTGGATTATGCATTCAATTCTGAACATTTTGCTTTTTATTTGACTAGATTATCTTCAATAGATCAAAAGTTATGGCCTTTTATGTGTGGTACCCTCCGAAAAGTCACTTTTGAGAAAACAGCACTTAAAAGTTGGCCTTCAGATTTGAGCCCCCCCCATGTGTTAATGATGTTAGTAAAACACAAAAATTGCATGCAAACCATTCCAAAGCATTTAATTACAACATAGTGGTTAGTTGAAGAGTTAAAACAAGAATTTATGAGGTTGAATCACTTACAGTGGTGCATTCTGCCTGGCATCATTTGAATTTCACTTGACGTGATGAATATAGAATCTATGTTATAAGTTATAGCTTACTTGTTGAAAACAAAGACGGCGTGCATTTATGTATTGCGAAGTGTTTTTATTGCTGTTGTGTCGTGTTATCGAATCATTGATGAGCAACGACAGTCTCCGATTTACAAGAGACTGCTCGACTATTTTATCAACAAAACAAGATAAATGAATATACAAACCAATAATTAATTTAAATAGATAGAGTATAACATCTGAAGACAAGGAATCTAAAGTTTAGTGCTAGATCTAGACACTAGATCTAGAACTAGACTAGATCTAGATCTAGATCTTAGATCAGATCTGCCTACAGTCCTACAGTACAGGTGTTTTGGTAGATCTAGATCTAGATCTATGATTTAGATCTGGATCAAGGTCTAGGTCTAGGCCTATTCTGATGCAGATCTAGATATGTGGATTTGTAAACAATAAAAACATAATTTCTATTCACTTTTCCTATAAATTTGAATCAACAAAGCAGAAATTCAACAGAGAGTAACCCTAACTTACGAGATCCAGGCCTGTGGACATCAAACATGTTTGTATCGAAACAACAACCAGATCTAAGTTCCCACTTACCAGAATTAGATTCCTCATCACCACTTGATAAATCATCCTCATCGTCATCTCTTGATCCAAAATATGAATCCACAACTTCATGGTATGCTTCTGAATCGGCTCGATTTAAATTTAAAAGCTTTGCAATCTCATCATCGGTGCTAAACACGGAGCTCGCCATCCTGAACGTTCATCAACTGCATGAAGTGTGATGAGTGAAACAAAACTCGCGCGGTTGGGAGAGAAGTTTCTTTGTCTATGAATAAACTTGATAAAACTAAGATAAACTATATAATTATCATTTTCTAAATATAAAGTTATAAGTTTTGCATCAATTAAAGTGAGCAAAACGGGTTTTTGATGGCAGTATTTGCCTCAGAATGTCGGACTTTTCAACGAGATGCGGAATACCACAGGTCACCTGTGTAAATTGGATGCGCACTACTTGTACATGTCACGTATTTATGCGCAAACGTCATAGTTAAAAAGTAGAAAGAAAGACCTTTGTTTTGGTATGAGGCACGACCTAGTTTTACATTATGAGCGTGTTCAAATCGCGTAATGGAATCGGGGGTTTGACAGACAAAATCAGGTGCTATTTTTCCTCATCGGTGCTGAAAACCTTAATTAGGGGGACTTCAAATTACACTTTGAAAATACATTTCTAAACTGATTTAAAGAATAAGATTAAAAGAAAATGAAAGATAAATGAATGAAGAAACCAATCATGATAATATCTCAAATTCGACCAAAATGATGAAATTTGACTTTGGAAGCACATAGCTCAAGACTAGAGCCAGCGACTTCCGACGGGTTATCCCAGACGGCCACACATTTACTTTCTGCTTCAGTTTGTAACATTGCATAATAATTTTTAGACACTTGCCTTAAGTTTGATTGAGGTCATTCCTTTTCTGAAGAGATATACAGTTTAACCTTGTTTTACTGCCAACCCAACTTATCGCCAGGTTTTATCAGTGTTCAAAAAGGAACGCCTATCCGGACATAGTATTTGCGCTTTTACACTGCCATCCGCCTAGTGTCTTGATTAAGCTATTGTGAATTGGCCACCAGAGGCAGACAATGCATACAGCATCAATATGGCACCCACTCGTTGGCTGCTAGGTCTCCTGCACCACCTCTTTCTGCCAGTAAAATGTCTGGTGTCATCAGATGTCAACCAGTAACATCAGGCAGGGCTTGGAGGCGCCCATGGAGTTTTTATTTTGTAAGGACTCTAACTCATCTACGAAGTCTGAGGCAGCCTGGGGATTTACAGGCATCAAATAGTAACGCATATGAAGCCGAGCTTCTTAAATCTGCAGAAACTTTTAATTTGAATTAGCTTAGCATAAAGTTCAGCTGCGTTTGAATTTGTTCTCTGACACTATGCACACAGGAGGCTCATCTCTAAATACAATGAATTACCTACAAAAAGATTCTTTTCAAACTCCGATCACACAGCAAAATCATTCTTCTTGACATTGGGCAGTTGCCATTATTTAACAGGAACCCCATTAAACCTCCAACTTTATGCTTGTCTGAAGGATGGCGTTATAACGAGGTTTGGCTAAAAGCAATGGGGGCAAACATTATGCTTGTCATGTCATGTTTTCATTGTTGTGAACTGAACTGGTACATAGCATGATTTTTTAATTATTTTTTTTTTCACAGGAGAGAACACTGTCCGAACAATTGCTATGGATGGTACTGAGGGACTCATTCGTGGTGAGCCCTGTGTTGATACTGGCACTCCCATCAGGATCCCTGTCGGCCCCAAGACCCTTGGCAGAATCATCAACGTCATTGGCGAGCCTATTGATGAGAGGGGCCCAATTGACACTGAGCAGTAAGTGTTCGTCTCAGGAATGTCTTCCTGCTTTTGTCAAAAAGCTAGTTGCTCTAAAAAAAAAAAGCTGTTTAAAGATTAGGTGACATGCCAAATGATTTCACTTTACTGTATAGGTTAGGCCACCTGTTGTCATGTCCTTAAGATGATATTTTCTTACTTTTTTTGTCCAGCTATGCTGCCATTCACCAAGAGGCTCCAGAGTTTGCTGACATGAGTGTCCAGCAAGAAATTCTTGAGACTGGCATCAAGGTTGTGGATCTGTTGGCTCCCTATGCTAAGGGAGGAAAAATTGGTAAGTACCGTTGTAGGATAATTTTTTGGCCATTTTTATTGGGTGATAAATGATAATTTTGTTTTCTACTCCCCTTGTCCTCTGTGTTGGGATTGAACACTTAAGTCCGCTCAGATTAGACCTGAAAATTTTCCAAGGTCCGGTGGGGAGATTTTGCATGTTAACCCTTGTCCTGCGGGGGGACAGGTTTATGTCGCCCGATAAGTATTTCGGCACCTCGCCTACGTTCTGGTCCCGAATCAGTGTAGCCCTTGGCTCAGCGCACGCGCATCATTTTACATGAAATTCGGGTCCCGGGTCAGATCCCCTTTCACGCAGGTCAAGTGCGTGTGCTTGAGTTTGTGTGCGTTTGTGGCCTTCTAGAACCGCCTGCGTTGGTTCTTAGTCGAGGCATACGTGTCATTCAAAACACGCTAAGTTGATAGCTATAGATGTTTGTCCAATGAAATTATAGAAGAAATTGACCTGCTTAGACATGAGGAGCATGAAAGGATAGTCAGGAAACTTGACTTCCATTTTTCAAACAAAATTTTTCAAATGAGCTTGATTTTGTATGAAATGATACTACCTGATGAAAAATAGGCTTGTTTTGATAGTTTTGAATACCATTGTGCAGATACAAAGAACAATTTGAGTGCTAAACATTCAGAAATTGACATATATTATCCCCTTTCGAGCCTCAGGTCTTTCATAACAAGAAGAGTGTCCAGAAAGGTTATTCAAATGGGCGTAACTACTCGTGTCTTATCAGCTTGTGAGAGGGGGGGGGGGGGTATTCATGTGTTTGTTGTAACACTTTATAAATATAAAGCTATGAAAGATAGAGCGTTATTTTCATCGTCGGTTAAACTCCCGCTGTATTCATGGCTAAAACACACATTTCCCGGCGCGCGCAGTACTTACTGGTTGACCCCAGCGGCCTGCCCGGAACGTCCAACGTAATCGGTTGCTGATAAGATTCGCATCTCAGCACAGACACAGGACAAGAGTTAAAGAACCACTTTGTTCTGAACTTGAAAAGAATGTGGATTTTGGGTCACCCACAGCCGTTATAGAGCGCCCATTTAGTTTCGGCTGGCGCGAGGCAAGCAAGCCCGCGCTTCCCCAGGTCACGGGGTCATTTACCTGCGCCGCCGGGGATTTCCCTAATCAGCCGAACACCGGCAGCGCTCTTGTATTTTTTGCAAAGTTTACCAGCACAGTGAGCCAAAGCTAATGTAAGATGAATATTTTAATAAAGACCACGTAAATATTCAACATATTAAGGAAGAAAATGAAGAAATCGGAAGAACATGGTACATTACACTTAAACGCTGTGAAGTTCTCAAAAAGGGGACTTAATTTGATAAATGTGTCATGGGTAATCAATTATAAACATCGATTTAAATATGATTGCCCCCAACGAATTCAATCAAATTTGCACACAGGACTGAAAACATAATGAAATTTGTACTGACAAAGGGGCATATGCACGAAGTTTCTGGATCCGTAATTATTCAGGTTTGAAGTTGATTTTTGCAATACTCTTGCTTTGCGACCTTGTTTTTTCATAGCGATATCCACGATACATGTAACTACAGGACAGATCTTTTCTTGCCGATACACTTATGAAAACACAACCTAAACACAAAATACAAAAAGAACACAATATTGCTGGACTGGAGGAATTATCTCATTTTTTCGCTGTAAGCTTTCGTCTTTTGATGGGTGGTGCACACGACAGAGTAGCTCAGGGTGGGTTGGACGTGTTGTGACTGCATGATTGTTTTGACGTGTTTTTCTTTGTCTCTTAGGCCACGGTTGCATGAATGAGCTCACCCCCTTGCTCACAATGGAAGGCCATTCCAAACCCACATTTTTGTATCCAAGGAACGCAGTGTTTCTCAAGGATGTGTTGTTTGGGGATGACCTTTTCTTTTGATCGATTTTGATTGAGTAGCACGTGTTTTACAGCACTATCGACTCCAGACCTTTTATTTGCCAAATATGTTTCTGTATAAAGACATAGATCGTGTGATGCATGACTGAATAGTGGTATTCTCTCTAAAGTGATTGGCTTTCCATGTGCAATTACTGTGTGGATATCTTTGAAGGTGTCTTTTACGTGAACAAATTTCTCTCTCAGAACAATTAATGCGGTGTCTATTATGCTTTGATTTCGTGTACATGCAACTGTTCCTTTTGCTAAAAATGATGCTAGCTGTCTGTACACATGGGCTGATGTATTTATGGCAGTGGTTTCCTATAAATGAACGGCTGTGGTAGGCCTGTGGTGTGGTGTTGTGTTGTTTGAGGATGTTATCAAATTCAGAGCAGGCAGGACTTGACCTTGGAATAAGCTCCTCAAACTCTAACTCTGACAGCTGATCATGTACACTAGAACCCTTCCTCTCAAATCTCTCTGCTTCTCGTGGATTATCCGACAAAATCTGACAGCCCTGTAACAATTGAATGTCCTCCTCGTTTTTTTCCAGCCCTCTTTCATTTTTTGCCGTAGATATGCACATTTTGTCCTATTCCAGGCGTGCAATTCTCCATAGATTGATGGGCCAGCTGTACATCTATATCATTTGCAGCCTCCTCAAGAAGGCGATGATGTTTGAGCACAATGCCCACCATATGACCATGTTGAGTGTGGCACTCCATGACAAAAATATTGTTAAAAATGACAACGAAAATCAGATGTAGTAGAGGCAAGAAAACTAAAAACAGCAAGGATGAATGTTCAGAGTGGTGGGTTGGTATTTTTTAAAAATCACAGAAAATCATAGAATAACTTCGTGCATTTGAAACTTGCACATGTAAATGAAAATTGTCACCACAGTTGATACATGAATTTCTGTTTAAATCGTTGGGGGCCGGATTGAAATATCTAAATCCAAACTGAAAAAGTTCTAAACATTGAAGATGCCAGTTTGAAAATCACAGACTTACTTAAATCCCTTGTAAAACTGATATAATCGGACTTACAAGAAAACAAGTTATACCGGCCTACAGGTCAAACATAGCACGTTACAATGAAATCTCAATCGGCCTTGTAGCATTTATAGTTTCAGAGTTAAGAGGCTTTCAATTCGCACTAAAACGCCATATTTACTACTGCCCCGGCACAGGAGGAGTGGAGCTGCGGTCACCCCAATTAACCCCTCTGACAAGTGATTTATGACTACGCGCTGGGCTGTCGGGCGGGGCGGGCAGGGTGGTGAGGATGGTCGGGGAGGAACCGGGGAAGGAAAACTAAGTGAGCGGTCTGGACGGTATTTTATCCGCCGTGCACCGTGTGAGCAAAATCCCAAATTAGTTCTTACTGATATCTGAAACCGCTGTAGTCAATTTAAATGTCCGGAGGATCTTCTAAAATGGCATGTGGCTGCTTGTCAAGCAAGGGGTGCTTTTACATTCTCTGAAGATGAAATGGCCATGTGCATAAAAGAATCAACTGCACTGTGAGATGATCTTAGTCTTTTGACCCCTGAGTTCAGTGCTGTCAGTAGTCTAGTGTAGTGATTAAGCTATCAGATTCATAATTATTATGTGAGAGTGCAGGCTCAGCTCACTCTGGCATCATGCCCTTGATAAAGGCTTTTTACATGAATTTTCCCTTTTTGGTTGGTCCTGTCGGAATTTTGAGGTCCAGCCTCTGAAATAACTATAGCAGTGTTGCAAAGGGCATAAACCTATAGTTTCCCACGTTTTCTCCCCTAAGCTCTTGTGGGGATGTACAGGTGACATGGGGTTGATCTGTGTCATTACTTTCCAGGTCTCTTTGGCGGTGCCGGTGTCGGAAAGACTGTACTTATCATGGAGTTGATCAACAACGTGGCTAAGGCTCACGGTGGTTACTCTGTCTTCGCTGGTGTGGGTGAGAGGACTCGTGAAGGAAATGATCTCTACCATGAGATGATTACCTCCAAGGTCATCAGTTTGACTGATGATACTTCCAAGGTATTATTATTGAGTAGTTCTTTGGTGGTTGAGTTTTTAATTTCAATTTGTCAACTTTGGAAATGGTTTGCCTTATTAGTGTTTGAGGCTGTTTCATGTACGCCATAATTCTGTTTTAAATATTTTGTTGAAACGTGTAAATTTCACTGACTTGCTGTGATGATAAATTGTGAACCCCCTGATTGTCTATGAGGGTACCTTCCTTGGACTGAGCAACCGTGGAATTTACTCTTTAAATTTGACTAATGTGCTTGTGCATTGGTTTGGTTTTTCTTTTTAGTAAAAAAAACAATTCTTTAGGTCTTCTGTGTAGATCTTTTATTTCTTTTTTCAAATGGGGGGGGGGCACTTTTTCAGTGTTTCAAGTTTCTTGTATGTGATTAGGTGTGGCACGGGATTGTCTGTGATGATTATGTGTCAAAAGGCTTTGTAAATCCTGGTGCTTTATGTTTATATTTACTTCTTTCTGCATTTGTTTATCTTCGTTTACCATTTGAATGTGCCAAGGAACATTAGTTTCAGGCACTGGTATAGTCTTTTGTCTGATGTTTTTTTGTTTTGTTTTCCTTTGGATTGAACTTAGTTTCTCGAGACTTGTTCCTTACAAAGAAAGACTGCTTCTTTTAAGTGTGTACTTTTGTTAACTGAAGTGTTCCCCGCCATGTGTTGTTATGATGAAACATTTGTGGAACTCCTGATGATCTGTGAGGGTACCTTCCTTGGACTGAGCAAACATTTTGGTGTGGACGTAGATGTTTTAATTTGGTTTGATTGAATTTTGCATTTTTGACCCACACAAATATTGTAATCTTTATGTCAACAGGTGTCCCTTGTGTACGGTCAAATGAATGAGCCCCCAGGCGCCCGTGCTCGTGTCGCTCTCAGTGGTCTGACCGTGGCTGAGCATTTCCGTGACCAGGAAGGCCAGGACGTGCTTCTCTTTATTGACAACATTTTCAGATTCACACAGGCTGGTTCTGAGGTGAGAATAATGCTTGGTTTTTACAACATGGGTGCCTGGATCGATAACAACAACAACCTGGATCGATACAACATGGGGGGGGGGGTGTCTTGTGTGTTTGGGGTTTTTTTTTCTCTTTGAAGTCAGCACATGTACTATCTAGATGGTGCATTTGTGACATTGCAGAATCATATGTAGCAAAGAATGGTTTGTATCTGATCCCATTCCAACTTGTCAAGGAAAGTTTGAAATGAAGAATTAAGCTTGTTTTAAAAAAATAGGTATTTGAAATCAGTTTATAGTTTTGTTTTGTTATAACCTTTCAAAACTCTGGGGATGTAAACAAACACAAAAAAGAAAGGGAAAGAACACCAAGCTGATTGTGGAAGTAGAAGCAAAAGGTGCAAAACCCACCCAGCTGTTTCTTTCTTTGATAGACATTGAAGATAAGGATGCTTCATCATCTGATCTCAATCAAAATTATAATTTTAACAACTGACCCTAATCAATCTAAAGCTTGTGGCAAAGAAACAAATAGCTCTAGTTCTTGTAGATGTAGTTGCAGGGTTGAGAGCCTGCTGTCCTACACAGGTAAAAGACAAAGGGATGTGGGAGGGAATGCCTAGATCTTGTTTTGTTTTTACACCTAGAGAAAGAACTAGAGAAGTGCATATAATATATGGGAAAGAGTGACAATATGAAAACTTGAAAACTACTGGTTTACTCCTCACGGTAGCTAAATAGTTTGTTTGGAAAAAATAAAGCCGCGCCTATGCTACTATTTTGGGCATCTTCCGGATGATTTTTCTTATGAAGATGGAAATGGGCATACAGCTTCTCACATTTTTGTGTTGATTTTTTTTTTTCTTTTTTTTCCTTTATAATCATAAACTTCTGTTTGATAGTACAACTGTATTTGAAAATCTTTATTAATTTTGGTTAGCAATACATACGTGTTGCTGCTCGAAACACTTTTAAAGATGAAAATGCTTGCATATATATTTTCAATAATAACAAAGTTTATGGCGGGCTTAAATGTCAATCACAGAGCATTAGAAGAGAAAAAAAATCATGTTCCTCAACTTTTTTAAGGGTTTTTATTTTATGTGTGTGTTAGTAATCAATAAGCTACTCTTTCCTGACAATTGTCTTCATCCTTTCAGGTGTCTGCCCTGCTGGGTCGTATCCCATCTGCTGTGGGTTACCAGCCCACTCTGGCCACTGACATGGGTAGTATGCAGGAAAGAATTACCACCACCAAGAAAGGGTCCATCACATCTGTACAGGTTTGTTTTGGTCTCTTTGTTTTTTCCTACCAACATATTGATTTTTATTGGTTTGTGTAAAGTATAGTCATTCAGAGAAAAGAGCTTTGACAAAGGTCATGGTGTTCTACTAAAGTTATTCAAGTAAACGTGGTGCTTACTTTAGTTAGTTGGACTGTAGCCATGCATTCACTCCACTGCTGATGCTATTTGCAGTCTTCAGTACCAGAGAAAGAATAGTAAAATCTGATTCTATTCTTATTCTTGCAACATATCTGGGCAAAAAAAAATGCGTTCATATCTCAACTATTGTGATACTGATAATTTTTGCTGTCACTCTGACTTCGAGGAAATCCGCAGGCCAGAAGTACATAATAGATATGTTTTCTTGTTTACGAAAATTCAAAGATTCTAGCTAATTGCTCTGTTCTTTTGTACTGTTAACTAGTCTTTTTTAATTTTAGTAGACTTTTTACGGCGCTCGCTTCTGCATATGGTTATATGAGCGCCAAGGGGTGTATGTCAACAGGGAATCAGGCTTACTCTGCTCACCTCTCTAGCTTCAACTCAACAGCACAAATTCTGCTTCGACTGTCAAGGCACTCCGAGATGGACAAAGAAGATGAGGGAAAATGACGGTAGTAAGGATCGGGAAAGAAAAGGCAGCAATTCCCTGTTGCAGTTCAGGCACGGTTATGAGCATGATATTGATGAATCAGCCCGTTCACAATTCTACTATGCATAAGAACATGTTAGTGGCCTAAAGACATTTCAGTCAGTGGGTGTTAACTAGTGTTAAAAGCTAGTGACTAATGAATGATGTGTGCACGTTTGGGGTATGCCAAAATGACAGAATTGCTATGATGAAAAATTTGTGGAACCCTGATGTTCTATGAGGGTACCTTCCTTGGACTGAGCAATTTTTTAAAATTAGAAAATATACTTATACGCGTGAGTGTGATAAAAAGAAACGTATGCATGAAATCATTTCTTGGTACCTCACAGGCCATTTTCGTCCCTGCTGATGACTTGACTGATCCTGCCCCTGCCACCACATTTGCCCATCTTGACGCCACCACTGTACTGTCTCGTGGTATTGCTGAGTTGGGTATTTACCCCGCTGTGGATCCTCTGGATTCCAACTCCCGTATCCTTGACCCCAACGTCGTCGGAGATGAGCACTATGCTACTGCCAGAGCTGTGCAGAAAATCCTCCAGGTAATCCATTATTTTTATCATAGTAATAAGGGATCATTTTGATTGTTCAAGTAGCTTCGTGACATGGAAAAAGTTATTATATCCGGCAGCTTAAATTTTGGGGTTGGCGTGTTTTATTCTGGCTTTAAAGTAAATTACCTGGTGCAACAGAACCTATCCCTTGTAAGTTGAAGAGTCAATAAATGATGTTTCGGTCGCTTAAATGGTCCCCTTTCAGATCGTGTCACTGCCAAAGATAGGCAATAATAATTTCTTTTCTGTAGGTACCACTTGAGTAAAATGATGAAATATAAACAATGAGAAAGAAATGTGGTTCAATAGATCTTGGGCCTGCCAGAAAAGAAAGCTTTATTTTTTTAATCAAACTTCTTTATTTGTAAATATTGTTGTGGATTTAGGTTGACCCTGTACCAGAAAATCCTCGAAAAGTAAAATCGGCTGCTGGAAGCTCAGATTTTTTGGTGATTATTTCCCTTGTTCTAAGAATTCAGGGCATGTGTCAGGACAGTTCTCGTCTGAAATGACTAATCTGTTCCCCAGTCTTGTTCTCCCCCTTTTACTTTTAAGTAATATACATGAATCATTTTTCTTAGGATTACAAGTCCCTGCAGGACATCATTGCCATCCTGGGTATGGACGAGTTGTCAGAAGAAGACAAGCTGACTGTTGCACGTGCTCGTAAGATGATGAAGTTCCTCTCCCAGCCCTTCCAGGTGGCTGAGGTTTTCACTGGCTCTGAGGGCAAATACGTGCCCCTGAAGGAGACCATCAAGGGTTTCAAGATGCTTATCGCCGGTGTGTATTTGAATGTTTTACTTGCATATGAGTTCAGCATTGTGGGTTTTTTAAAAGTTGTAGTAGGGGTTTTACGGCGCTCGCTGCTGCATAAGGTCATATGAGCTCCAAGGTGTGGATGTCAACAGAAAAGTTGTTACAGGGAATCAAGCTTACTCTGCTCACCTCTCTTGCCTCAACAGCGCAAGGTCTGCTTCAACTGATAAGGCACCTCGTAAATAGCAGTTCACAAGAGAGTGACAAAATACAAAAGAAGTAGATGAAAAATGACGATAGGATGAGGAATCAAAAAGCAGCAGCCCCCCCCCCCCCCCCCCTATGTTGTTCCAGCACAGTATGAGCATGACATTGATAAATCAGCCCATTTACAATTTTACTGTGCATAAGAACATTTTACTATCCCCCCTTTGGGAATGGCCTAAAGACACTTCAATCAGTAACACTGCCCTTGTGGGGGGAGCATAATGTTTGGTGAAATAAAACTAGAAAGGTGTTGGAGAAAAGTACAACAGAGCTGGTGACATGAGCTTGGTCTCTAAATTCTTATTCAATGATGAGAGTAGTCTTATATTGTTGTCATTTTGTTCGTTCTGTCCTGTTGTACCTACGTAAATGAGAGAATTGCTGTGATGAAAAATGTGTGTACCCCCTGATCTTTACTGAGGGTTCCTTCCTTGGACTGAGCAATTCAAGCATATTTCTTTTTAGTTGTTGCCTTTTTGCATGCTAAGTCTTTTTAATGGGTAATGAATAATATCAGTGTTGTTGTTTTTTTACCCTATCCGTACACCCTGGGGTCATTTTGTACCCCCAGGGTTGTATTCTTCACATTTTAGAATACTTCTAGTACGAAGATCTCTTTGACACTTTCAGTATTTCTCGAAAAATCATTCTAACAGACTGCTATGCAATGCGTACGGATCGGATTAACGAGTACATTTCCTCTTTGAAAATGGCGGAACAGGGTACTTTAAAGTTTTAGTAGAGGTTTTATGGCGCTCGCAACTGCATTAGGTCATATGAGCACCAAGGGGTGGATGTCAACAGAAGTCCTTACAGGGAATCAGGCTTACTCTGCTCACCTCTCTAGCCTCAACAGCACAAGGTCTGCTTCGACTTTCGAGGCACCTCGTTTTATCCAGCACAGTATAAGCTTGACATTGATAAATCAGCCCATTTACAAGTCTACTGTGCAAAAGAACATGTTACTACTACTACACACAAACACACACACACACACACACACACACACCCTTGGGAATGGCCTAATTACACTTCAGCCTGTAACACGTCCCTGGTGGGGGGGAGCATAATGTTTGGTGAAATAAAACTAGAAAGGTGTTGGAGAAAAGTACAACAGAGCTGGTGACATGAGCTTGGTCTCTAAATTCTTATTCAATGGTGAGAGTAGTCTTATATTGTTGTCATTTTGTTCATTCTGTCCTGTTATACATAAATGAGAATTGCTGTGATGAAAAATGTGTGTACCCCCTGATCTTTACTGAGGGTTCCTTCCTTGGACTGAGCAATTCAAGCATATTTCTTTTTAGTTGGGCAGTATGATTTGTTGCCTTTTTGCGGGCCAAGTCTTTTTTAATAGGGGATAAATAATATCAGTGGGTTTGGGGGGGGGGGGGGGGGGGGGTGGTTACCCTATCCGTACACCCTGGAGTCATTTTGTACCCCCGGAGGTTGTATTATTCACATTTTAGATTACTTCTTGTACGAACATCTCTTTGAAACTTTGTATTTCTCAAAAAATCATTTTGACAGACTGCTATGCAAGGCGTACGGATCAGATTAATTAGTAAATTTCCTCTTTGAAAGTGGCGGCACAGAGTTCCCCACATTGTGTGGATGCAATAGCTAAACACAACGTACGGATGGGGTTAAATAGGTGCCAAAACACCTGGCATTCTCCCAATGTGAGTCGTAAATCAATGGCAAAAAAAATGTCCTTCTCTTTCTTCTTCATGTTAATGCTTTTTCTTCCTTTTTTTTTTTATGCCTGATTATATTTCTGTTGTGTCATTCTTTCAGGTGAGCTGGATCATTTGCCAGAGGTCGCCTTCTACATGGTTGGAAGCATTGAGGAGGTCGTAGAGAAGGCTGCAAGGCTAGCTGAGGAGCAGTCATGAGCATTTTGTACCCAACTGTAGACCTGCCTAGAATCATTTGTGTGTTTTGTTAGTATGGAGTGTGCATGATGATTGGGCCTGAGCAACAGCTAGGAAATTTTTCCCTGTTCTTTCAGTGTCTGTTTAATTTGTGATATGGCAAGATGTGTGGTCCAAACGAAAGTGTGTGGGTTTGAGGGGGGGAGTTTGTTCTTTGATAGTTAACACACAAAAAAAAAGACATTGTATCTGAGTTGGATGTTCTTGTAGTTCCAGCAAACTGTGACAGACAGCCAGTTATGATTTCATCTCTTGGTTGACTGAATGACTATGTGGGTGAAATTGTTCAGAATAAATTCTTTACCAATAACATTTTTTAAAATTTCTTCTATTCCTCGTGCATTGTTTTTATCTTGGGCACTGTGTGTTGGGGTTTTGGTTCTTTTCGTGCATCCAGTTCCAAGATGTGGTCAGTTGATACAGCCATATCGATGACAAGTCATGATTCTTCTTTTCTTGTCTGTGTAGTCTTTAGCATTGTAATCCTTACCACTTCAGTTGTGTGAGGCCAGTCTCTCAGCAGCTGAGTTTGTCTAATGAACACATAAACACCTATCAATGGAAATTTTAAAAAGTCAACTTACTAAAGGCATATTCCTTCCAATACTGGCTAACCAATGCCAGACATGGCACAAAAAAGGAAGATCATTGCCTGCAAGATGAAATGCCTAAGAAAATTAATCAACTTTACTAGGAAAGACTGCATAAGGAATGAAACTTCAACATTTAATAGGGATGAAACCAGTTGTGGAACATGTAGAACATCAAAGAACCCAGTGGTTCGGCCATGTCAAATCAACTGGCTGTACAATCTTACAAGGGAAGGGGCAAACCACGCAAAGCATGGCTGTGATAAATGTGTTATAAACAGAAGCCACCCACCTAGCTCTTGACCGAAAAATTATTCCTCCCCTCAAGATCTAACGATACAAAGGGAAGGATAAAGTAAGATCATAGTCATATGTGAGGCACTGTGGTGAAATCGGGCGCTCGTCAAAATAATGAAATCGAAGTGAAAGTTATTTTTTTCTAAATCTTCGGGCTTGGGGGGGGGGGGGCTAAACACCGTTTTAAAAAATTCATTTTCATTTTTCAAGGACTCGCAATCTATTGAAGTTACCGAATTTTGGCGGCCATTTTCTCACTAATTTTACTTCTGAAACCAGGCGACCTCACCTCTGTCAATCGCAATCAGGTAAATGGATATTTTTCTCATCGAAAGCAAGGCAAATGAACAAGCTTTTAGATGACACCCATATATAAGTTCATATACCCAGAAATTGAGGAGCACCCGATTCCACTGTCGTGACACATAATTCTTGGATAACATTGGCTCCATCATTAGTCCATCCTACACATACTTTCCTCCACCTGGGCTTTTTTTATGTTTTAGTTGCATCAATTGTGAATGTTTTTGCCCTCATCAACACCAAGCTCGGAGAATGAAGATACAAATTTCCCAACAGACGGGTGGGGGTACTTGGTTCTTGATTTTTAAAAAAAACCTCACTCTGGAATCAAGACTCGCAACGAACAGCATCGATGGTGTGCTTCTTGTGCCCAGCCACATATTTCTCTCCACCAACAAATATAGGTTGGCGGGTGCTCTGGTGTGGTTTTCTTGCTTCTTTCCTATGAAACATTATCATCCAAGTTATCTCCCCTTCTTTTTTATGTTTATTACTCACTTGTAACACCTCTAATCTTCTGGCGCTCATATGACCTTGTGGAGTTAAATTGCGAACGCCATAAAACCTCTACTAAAACTTTTAAAAAACTAATAGATTGGAGGGGGGGGGGGATCGGGAAGTAGGCCTTACCTTAAAGCCTGTCGGAGGTGCAGCAACTCTGATACTGGTATATATGTTGAATATCAGATCTATGCCTTGGTGTTGGCTAATATGATATTATTACTATTATTGTAACTGTAACATGTTGTTTCCTTTCTTTTTTACTTTTCCTGTGGGTGGCTGCTGGATGTTCTGGCGTGGTTTCTTCCGTCTTTCCAATCAAAGACCTATCACATTCTGTCCTTTTCTCTGTATGTTGCTCTCTTGTAGCACCTCTTATCTTTGGCACTTATACTACACTTATCTGGGCCCCCTTTCGATGAAAAGAATGATCAGTGCATTAACAGCAACTGAAAGTCATTGACCTACTATATTTTTACTCTTGAGAGAAAAGTGACACATGTGTTTCTAAGTTGCCAAATATATAATAGATGTATAGATTGATTCTCTATTCCGCTTTCGAGGTTGTACACTCCAGAATTTCAAAGGTGTGGAATCAGTGCGCACGGCTAGTGAAAGAAAGCCTTACTAAAATTGTTTACAATGGCGTCTTAGAAGACGGACTTTCCCAACATTAGATCTAAACGAAACTAATGAAAAACGGAAAATTAAACTACAGTGACTTCAGGCTCCTCAATAAAACTGTGCACCCTTTAACTTTGAATGATTCTGAATCACCATTAATTTGGTCAAATTTGAAAGTTTTAGGCGGCCAAAGTGACGAACTTTCACAAATATAGAGATGTGTTGTAAAAGTTACTAAAATTAAAATCGTCTTCCCCACTGAGCATGCTGCTCCTCCTTCAAAATCCAAGTAATAGTGGTCTTCACTTCCATGTCTTTGTATCATATAATGCAGGGGTCTCAAACTCATGATCTTAATTTATTGAGGCAAGCAGGGCGATATTTTATGGTCCCTAGCATAAAAATTAAGCATTCATAGTACTTGTAGTTGTAGTATTATTATTAGTGCTGCCCAACCTTGGTCGGTTTTTGAGAGAATTGTGCCCACCTTCCCAGAGCTTTCAAGCTGGCAATGTGTCTGTGATAATGTTAGCTCCTCTCCACCATGACTTTTCATAAATCATGGTACAAAAAAACAAATCCAATGTGAGTGTGAGTCTCGCTTACTACTCCTTCACTTCATGCCAAATGTAGCTTAGTGTGCAATAAGTGAATTCGCCTTCCCCACCTTTTTGGGGGTTATCCGCCTCGCCTTCCTTTTTTTGGCGAATGTTGTTTTTAACCAAGAACAAATGTGTGTGTTGCGCACGCTACAGGGGTATCGCCTGTCGTCCCTTTCGCTTCACTCCCCCATATACTGCACAAAAAAGAGGGATCGTCAACAAAGGTCTACCCTTAAATTTTGTTTGCCTTCATTCGCCTCGCTGATCCCACGGTGTACCTTCTAACTACAATGTAGCAGGCCTAATGTTGTTTGATGCGGGCGCTTCGCTTGTTCCACTGTATACATTCTAGAGTCGTTATGTGTTGTTTCATCATTTTAATGTTGTACCTTGACTGATGAGAACTGAATTAGAAATTATTGACCAATAAATGTTGCTCACATCTGTAGAAAAAAAGACCATCCCTATATGACAAGACAGACTGGTACTATTGCAACAGAAAAATTATGTAACTGCTGAATGGGGGAAAAGTTGCATAAGAAGTTGGATGTACTGGTAATTTTGACGTCTTCATTTCAACCAGTACAAGAACATCAACTTCAAAGCTGACAAAAAGAGTGAAGGAAGGCGAGTCAACTCTGTCGCGTAATGTCCCATGTCCCAACCCATTCGCTTCCCTTTCCCCTCATATTTTTGGTGAGTGGTTAGCGGGTGCTCTGGTGTGGTTTGCTTCTTCTTTCCTATCAAACACCTATCGTCCTTATCTCCCCTTTTTCTTTTTTATGTTTGTTACTCTCTTGTAACACCTCTAATAACTAACTCCTAATCTCCGGCACTTACATATGACCTTATTGTGTTGCAAGTGCCCTTAAACTAAAACTCTTGCTAAAACTAAACATATTTTTGAGGAGGCGAAAGGGGAGGAAAGGACGATCCACTGTGTTTGTACCATAAGCAATGTGTCAATGTAAGATGAGGCGCTGTCAGTCAGGTCTGTGACAGCAAGGAATAGGTAAGAGTAAGAGAAGCCAATGTGTACATTTATAATATTATGAAGAGCTGTTCCTGTCCTGAACAGCTACATCTGTATTAAATAAGATATAGGGAAGATCAGATCAGTTAAATTAAAATTTAAAATACCTCATGCAGCTCAGGCTCACACAGAATCTCCCTCCAGCTACCCCTGGGCATTCGAGTTTGTTGAGACTCTGCAGTGTAGTAGGGCAACTCACCAAACAAAAACAAAATATTTTTTTAAAATGATCCAGCAACTACATGTACATTGCCTTCCAATGACATAGGCTACTTCTTCGGAATCTTACTGTCCAGATTTGGCAGCAGTGTTGGGCCACAGCTCTTCTTTTTAAAATTTATATATATAGGTATGTTATTGTTTTTACGCCCTCATCGATACAGCTCAATTCTTACACAATCATTTTAATTGCCGGATGATCTTTCCGATCTCTGACATTGACATTGATACTGAAATGTACTGTAACTTCTGAGCAACAATGGAAGGCCTATCATTTTAGTTAATCAGTTATTCAATTCGTACAAATATACATGTGAATTAGCATTGCAAGAATATACATTTACTTCTAGATGCCACAGGGATAGCTACAACGAACAAGTCTATTGTTCCTGGTAATTTTTCAAAACGCTTGACAATATCATTATTTCATGTACTATTTCCCGTTAAGGGTTAACATGGGCATCGTACCGTACATTCACGGGTGTTCCTCGGCATTTCTAAAGGCGCGCTCTCCCTTTGGTGTCAACAAAATCTGTACATAATAATTACGTCTGTCCCCGTCGTTTTATGCAATAAAAATTCTGAAATTATGCAAACTGAGCCCAAAAATGTGAAATTATGCGATTCTGTTAATTTTAACAAAGAATGACAAAGGAAAGTATTCAGAAATTAGAGCTATGCCCCCCAAAAAATGATCAAATTTTGCTAAATTATGCGGGATGCATAAAATCGCTGGGACAGATAATATACATAATTTTACGCTATTGACATCAGTGACTCCTCTGGGGTCCTGGCTGTTTCTGTGGCCTTTCTACTGCTACTCCTTGGCTCCTTATTACTAATTTTATTGCTGTCTTTCATTCAGCCACACCTCTGATCTTATTATTCTTATGGTAATGATAGGTAAGATCTAATACCAGCCATCCCGGATATAGGGGCGAAACATCTCGGAGGTCCCGCGTGCAAGTTGGTGGTCCAAAATCCATATTAGTAGAGTAAGCTTCAGCCGCCACCCAGGCAAAATTCTAAATGTCCTACCAACTGAAAATGTTTAATGTGTCCCGCGCGCTCATATGACCTAATGCAGTTGCGAGCGCCGTAAAACACTTACCAAACTTACCAAACAAAACTTTGCAAATCTGC